TTTTTTTTTTTTTTTTTTCCTGGAAGCCGATCAGCTGGCAGGGACCGAGGGCTCAAGGACACCGGAGCGGGCAGGGACAGGGCGCCTGGCACCCCAGGGCCCGCTGGCACCCAGGGGGTGCTACGAGGGGGGAGCGCCTGGAGGGCTGGGGGGGGAATATGGGGGGAGACACCCCCGGCACCCCTGTATGGAGGGGGCCTCCCTCGGGGCTGCAAGGGGGGAGCTAAACTGGGGGGGGGACGACAAGGGATGCTCCAGACAGGGGTCCTGCCTCGCTGCCAGGGCAGGCACCCCGCTGCCGGCTCCATCTGTGCCCCCAAGTGCCCGCCACAGCAGCACTGAAGTGGGGGAAGGAGGGGTGCAGGTGGCAGGCAGGGGGCTTGTCCCCCTGTCTGTCCAGCCAGACGTCTGTCAGACCTCCCTGCTTGCCCCCCACCCCCCCCATCTGTTCACGGCAGCCACTCATTCGGTAAATCCCCCCCCCGCCCCGCCTCCCCAGGGCCCTGGGCTGCTGCTGCCGGGGCAGGAGCTTGCCATGGCTGGCAAGTCCCCTTTTAAGCCCCTGTGGATTACCCTGGGCTTGGGTGCGTGCCAGGAGGGGTGGGAGGAGGAAGAAGAGGATGAAGAGGCGGCCGGCAGTCTGGGGACACGGGTGTCACCACCCTGGGGGACCTACCTCTTCCCGGACACAACCCCGAGGCTCCCCAGTCCCCCCCTCTGAGGTTCCTCAGAAAGGGTGGGTGGGCTCCACCATCCTCACAGCTGACCCTCGCCCACCCACAGGGCAACGCTCCCCAAATGTCCCATGCCTCGGTGGGCTGCACCTCCCCTGCTGTCACCCCCCAAACCTGCACAGGATGGTGGCCACGGAGGAGGCGGGGATCGGGGAAGGAGGTGGGAAGGGTGGCAAGAAGTGGGAGGAAGGTGACAGGAAAGTGGTGGCAGAGCTTGGCATTTTATTTGGTCCCAAGGGAGCCTGGGTGGGGATGCCAGGCGAGCAGCTGGGTTGGCACAAGGGTGTGTAGGCAAGTGGAGGGGTGGGTGGGCTGGCCGCCTCCCCCAGCCCCACGGGCCCCTCCACGCAGCCCATCCTGCTCACTCCAGCTGCTGCAGGAAGGCCAGGAGCCCACGGTGCCACTCGTTGGGCTTGTCCAGGTAGCAGGCGTGTCCGGCGCCCTGCAGCACCAGCACCCGGTGCTCGGGGAGGTGCCGCAGGTTGTTCAGGCTGGTCTGCCCCAGCTCCACGTCCTGGTCCCCGTACACAATCAGCGTGGGCGTCTGCAGAAGGGGAACGCACCCTGAGCCTGCCAATGGCACCCAGGCACCCGCTCCTCCTGGCCACGGACACCCTGCGACCAGGATATGGAGGGGAGACAACTCGCCCTTCCCCCTGCCCACCACAAGAGGAAACAGGCTCAGACTCCTGGGTCTCCAAATGTCCCCTCTTCCCCTCCTGCTATCCTACGATCATGTCCCTTCACCATCACATTCCCTTCTTCCAGCAGCAACTGGGTTTCTGGCCTGTTTGGTCTTCCCTTTCCCCCCTGGTGCAAGGGTCCCCCCTCTCACCACCCTCTCTGAGTCCCCCAACCTCCCTCAATCTCCCTCCAGGCCATACTTTGATCTGGGCGTACTGCTCCGCTGTGAATTTCTCGGTGCAGATGGGTGCCACGGGCACATATGCCTTGAGCAGGTGGTTGTGCTGGAGAAGGAAGGGCAGGGAGTACATGCCGCTGAGCGATGGGCTGATCACCACAGCTGGACCCAGGCCCAGAGCCTCCGAAACCGCTTTCAGGAAAGTCCCCGGCGCGGGCTCACCCACTGGTGCTGGAGCCACAGCATCCTTCGAGCGGCCCAGCCCTGAGCCATGGGAGACAGAAGTTGCACACACTCTTCACCGCCTTGTGACAGGGAAAAGCTGGCACATCAGGACGCCAGGGTTGCCATCCCAGCACCACAAATGTGAGGGGCTGTATTGGCTCCCCCTCCCTGGCGCCCACCTCACTCCAGGACCATGCTCTCCAACCGTGCCTTACCCGGCAGGTCGATAGCCACAGCTCGGTAGCCGTTTTCAGCCAGCATGGCAAGCGTCTGCAGCTGAAGCCAGGTATCGGAGGAGAAGCGAATGCCGTGCAGAAGCAGCACTGTCAGCTTTGGCGCCTGCTGGGCCGGCTGGGCTTGGCGGTAGAAGAGGGTCTGGCCTTCCACCGTGACAGTGCTCTCGGTGAGCTGCGGGGTGGCCATGCCTGGGGCGTTGGGACAGCTGTTTAGGGGACGTCAAGAGGTGGGAACGGGCCCGGTGCGGCCTAGTGGGATGGGTGAGGGGCCTTGTCCCAGCGTCGAGGCCCAGCGGTGGCAGAAAGGCAATCGGGCTGTGATGCTGACACTGCAGAGGAGGGGATTTACACTGGCATCACCCTCTTTTTGGGGGACACCGCCGGGGGGCCGGCCCCAGGGGGGGCGCTCGGGCCTGCTCGCTCATGAGGGAGCTCACGGGCCCTCCCCTGCCTCAGTTTCCCTGCCCCAGCGCTGCCAGCGGCCCTTACCTGCTCCTCACCCCCCAGAGCCGGCCGCCGCTCGCCTCCCGTTCCCCGTGGGGCTGGGGGTGCCGCGCCCCGGGTCCAAAGGCCGGCGGGGCGGGGAGGGGAGGGGGGGCAGCGGCGGCACCGCCTCACCGAGCGCAAGGCCCGGGGCGGCCCT